GTGAATAATTCTGTATACAGTAACACAAGTTACTCTCACCAAAACTCATTTGTGCTATAAAGTGCCTTATTTAGCAAAATGTTCCTAAGTTTACTTTTAAACAAAGATAAGCTGGTATCTGCTTAATATCTAAAGGTAGTTTATCATACATGGCACTGCATAAATACATCGGACTCTTTTTATAAGCACTGAGATTGAAGTTTTGAACATGAATATGGTTACCTATTATGCCTAGAATTGTAGACGTGTACCTGTATGTCACTGGGCTGTGGAGCAAATCTGTGTTTTCTTTAACGAATAAGCATGACTCGTAGATGAATATTGACGGCAGCGTTAACATTTTATTGTTGTTAAATACTGGCCTACAGCTACCTTCTTTGTAGTATTAGATACTATTCAGCGTGAGCGTCAAAGCAGGTAGGTACAGTTCGCCTTTTAAAGAAAACTATATACTTTGTTTTAGAGCTATTAAGTACTTACTATCAATTTGTTTTCTGATATTCATTCTGGAATTTTTCGTAAAATTAGCCCCAACAAATAGTGATGATGGATCAGCAGCTCTCTCCTTTCACGCAATGATGCCGTTTTTGGTCAGAAATCGACATCAAATAATCGCAGGAAGAAATCGCTGTTTATCAATACTATTAAACTAAATATAATCCAGGCCATGGATCAAATAAAATCATTACAAATTCTCGTTGGATCCATGCTAATATGTGTCTCGCGAAGCTGCATCTGACACTCTTGCGAGTTGATTCAATGCAAAATCGCTACAAAATGGCACAAGTGACTTTTCTAATATAGTAAAAAATTACAATCGACAATGGGAAACTCTATTTGAAATTTCCCGGAGATAAGAATATTAACCTCAAATAATTTAAAGACACTTGATAACGTATATTAATAATATTTAAAATTACAAATTGGAGACAACTTTCACTTTTGGGTTTCGTCATGTACATAATCTGAAAAGCCATAGGTATTCTATTAATCTAAATCCATCTATAAAAAAGTTGTAGGCATGCAACGTTTATTTTATAATGTTAAGGATCATTCACTTCACACGTTCATAGATTCTAGTTGGATATTCCTTTTAAAAAAACTAATTTCCAAAAATGTTCCACACCTGTCACTGATTTGAAAAGTAGTCGTCAAAGTCGGGCTATAGGTAAAAATTGTCAAACATCATTAAATATTTTATAGGTACTTAAGCAAAGATCAAGAATATATTTTAGACAGATACATAGTTTTTAATCCCTTAGACTCCTTATAGGTAGTGATATTCTATTTCTGCTACCTGCTTTTTTCCATCCATTCCGAAACCTGGGTACGCCTTTGGATTCGATTTTGGAGCAACATTGGTCATTTTCACGATACTGGAGGGTGGGTCATGTCTCATATCGGGCTCAGATCTGTTTTCCAAAGAGAACCTATGGAGGAATAGTACTTCATAAGATTTCAAACTTCTAGGTCGGACAGCTCGCTCTGGAGACTGGTTCAAAGTCCCAATGTTCCGAAGAAATGTGAATTTTAGCCTTGTTGGCGACATATCCATTTTGTTGCTACTCCTATCACTGGAAAGCATTAGTCCTCGCAATACGTGAGTATTCTGAAGTAAAATTATCTGAAGAATTGAAAAATGAAATCATTTTCTTTCGATATTCTCATTGTTTTCTTCTGACAATTCGAATGGCCTCCGAGACAAAAGAGCCCTAATATAATTTTTGTTTCGTGAAGAAAAAGGATCGGCTTATTGCTCTATATAAGATGAATTTAATTTTCAGAATTCTAAATTGCTCGAACAGGCCTTTAGAGCTAACTTAAGATATTTTGCCTAAAATTTACCATTTTCATCATACTGGATGTTATTGGAGATTGAGATAATCAAAGATGTCACCTATATTACAAATTCATCAACATATTACTTAATTATAATTGTATGTTAATTGTCTATCGCAGCTTCTAAGGGATGTTTGCAAAAAACTGATAGTTCAATGTACAGTGCAGGTACCCAAGATGAGGTAGGGGATTTCAAAAATGTTTAGAGCTACAATGTTGGTTAAATGAGAAAGTCGCGTAAGAAGTTAAGTGAATTTGACTGACATTTTCCAATTTTGAGTTATTTGAAGAAAAATATAATTTCGAAAATTTGCAAAATTATACTTTATGTCAAATTAACTCAAAATCAGAAGAACGCAGCCGACCTTTGACACACTGTAGTCTGAACTATTAGTTTTTATTGCTAATATCTCTTAAAAGCTGCATAAGCTAACGGAAATTAAATAATGTGTTGATATATTTATAAGATGGCTAACCTCTATAAATAGATCAATCGCCATTAACATCCATATACCTACTTCCACCTATGATGAAAATGGTAAATTTTGGCCAACTTAGAAAAAAGCGGTTCTTAAGGCCTACTCCACCAATTTAAAGCTTTAAAAATAAAACTCAACTCATATAGAGCAATAAGCTTATCCTTTTCGGAAAAAAATAATTTTGCCGATTTTTGGCTTCGGAAGTGAACTAAATTGTCAGCCCAAGAAATGAATGAAACATTTTGAAAAAAATGACTTTTGACTGAAATATCTAACAAACAATTACTTATCAGATTCCATTTTGAAAGTCATTTTTAAATTCTGCGGATAATTTTACTTCGGAATAGTCACACACTGCTGGGTCTTATACTTTCCAATGACAGGCGTAGCCAGAAAATGGAAATATTGCCAGAAAGGCGAAAATTCAGGTTATCTTCGAATTCTCCATGCCTCCATAGGTTATCTTCAGAAAATAAATTTGAACTCGATATGAGACATGACCGCCTCCCATGTCATGAAAATAGCCAACTCTGGTCAAAAATACCGAAAACTGGTTCCAAAGGCCTATCCGATCAATTTAAATGCTCGAGTACAAAATTCCATTTATATTTTTAGGATAATAGGCTATTTGTTGCATCTCCTTCACAAAAAAATTGACCATTTTTTGTTTCGGAAGTCATTTGAATTGTCAGCCGAATAAGCCAGTAAAAAATTTCGAAAAAATACTTTTGACTGAAATATCTGCCGAACGAAATATCACATCGCAACTTCGAGGTCATTTCTGACATTCTTGTCAATTTTACTTCGGAATGGTCATATATTATGGTGAAGAATGCTTTCTAATGACAGGAATATCGAGAAAATGGAAAAGTCACCAAAACGCTAACATCTTTGCGAACCTTCAAACTTCTAGAGGATCTACAGACCGAAGCGCTCGATCTAGGATCCTGGAACCTTACAAAGCCTACATATGTTCTCTCCAGGAAAAAATTAAACCCGGTCTAAGATATGACCCGCCAAGCCAGGGCGTGGAATCTTAGTTTTGGCCCATATGCACATTGAGCAATATCAAGGTATCACTCATACTTCAAGCATGAATAAAATGTCAGTATAATCAGAGAAGACGTTGATTGAAGGATTACTAATACTTCATTTGATTACACATCTTGGGATTTCCAAGATCCTGAAGTAGGTTGAGATGAAAAATAAGAATACCCATTGGTTCCTGCTTCTTATAATGAGCAAATCTTAGGTATATCCATAGAAGTTCAATGGCGGACTTAGAGGGGCCGAGATAGGCGCCCCCCTGGATGCCTAAGTCTGCCATCTTTATCAAGAGAATGGAATATTCATGGAGTCCTCTAATTTGGTGCATACAGATCTTGGCACAATTAACAGTTTTTCCTAGTAACGTATACAGCAAAGTCTTAAGATTACTGAGATGTTAGTCTCCGCAAAATAAATCAAACCTAACCAAAACCTAATTGGTTATGCCCCTCAATCAAATCAAACGTGAACATTTACGATGCGCATCAGTAGGTACTCAATTCAGGCATTGGTCGCGCTGGTAAGCAAAGCTTTTATAAATCTGTTCTAAAAAAACAAAACAAAAATGGCACACTCATATAGTATTGTCGGAGTTGTCTATATTATTTTAATTTACGGTGAGTGTTTTCGAAATGCTACCGATGCTTCGCAAGTGCATGCCAGATCGTTTTCGTGATTTCTTTATTTGTTGAGGAACTACGTGTGCGAATTTAGCAATCTGCTGCATTCATTCGGCAGCCCATTCTAAATGGCTGCACTGATGCTCGGCTACATGTGTCTTTATAGCAGACAACTTTGAACAATACTTACCTACAAGCGATAGAGCTGTACTTGGAATTTATTTTTGATGAACCTTGTGAAGTTTTTCATTATTTTTTTACTTGTTCGCTGTTGTTTCACCATATATTAGCTTTGTTATTACAAACGCAGCTGTTTTTGAAAAGGAAAGACCCAACTTTGCTTTATGTTTGGTGCAAAATTACCTGAATCGTGAGACGTCCCTCCCCCCTAGACGTGGCCAACCACCCCTTTTCAATTTTTAACCGCTGTCCCCTCCGTGACAAATCTATTCGTAAGCATGAATGCTGCGACCGCATAGACAGATCCTTATATCCAACCTTGTAGAAGCTTATGGAGAAAAATAAGTTCCAGAGCGTTTATACAGCAAACACTGGGGTGCTTTCCTAAGGATCGCTGAACGAAAGCCAGGTTCTTCTGTGTTGAGGTTGATGGGTTCAAGCACGGATCCTGTTAAGTCCAACAAAACACAGCACCTCGCGTCCTCTAAATAAGGCACTTGTCGGGCACTGCGTCCAAATACGTGCATCCCATAAAATAAAGATACAATAAAAACCGCTCTATAGATTTTCCATACACCGTCGGTAAACCTAACCTAAAAATGAAGCGCCTGTAAGTCTGGGTAGGCGTGCCATAACCTCATAGTCACTCCTAATCGAGCAGCAACGGGAGTAAAACGGGTTCTAGCCACACCCGAAACCGGTTCGCCAACCAATAGCGACAGTTAAAGGCGTGTTCAACCTTGCGTATCGCCGCACGGTAGCGAGATCTACCGGCTGAGAGGCCAAACCACACCGCCAAGCGTACTATTATATGATTATTCTTCATTATAGTCCCTACGTTCGTAGGTTGAAGATGGTCGTTTTCGAACGGTCAATTTACCAACGTAAAAAAACGACATATGCGTTCAATTTCGTGTAATTTGGTTTCGGGCTCGATCTTCAAATAGTTTTTACTCAATTATAGTGTGAATTACACCTATTACCGACGGTGAATACGTTTAAATTGGCTTTCGCTTACTTTCGATTAACGTTATTAACTTTTTTAACTGTCGTATCGGGATCGCGGCGTGCGACATCGATCTTTTGGTGATTTGGTGTTAACCCCAAGGATGTTACAGTGACTCAAGGATCCTAAAGTGTTACTAGTGCTACCTTAACTGAATCAACACTACTCCGAAGTCTGCCCACCAGGATAATCTCATAGTGAAGTAATTTCAACAATTTTTGGAGACCTGTCATCAGTTCTGCTTGGACAATCAACATCAGGTCTACAGTTACTTCGACGCCTCTTCTTTGAAGTGATACTGCAAAGCCTTTTCCCCAAAAACTTCATACTCTCGCCAACGGATTTGAGCTAGTTGGAGCAGCAGTTTAACGAGTGATATCAAGTGTCCTGTTGTCAATAAGGTGAACACACTACAAAACAAAGTGATTTTAATGCCGTATGGAAGTCGCTTGAAGACACCAGAAATTATTGACAAGTTGTATTGTACCTAGATGAGGCTATATTGAAGTGAATTTGTGTCAAGAAATGCGAGAGGCATTGATCATAAGCATTACTGAAATAAGATAGTAACAGTGAAGTTGCAAAAATTGTGATTGGCAGATAATCTTCGGTGATTTCAATGCTCTTGGATTAACAACCTGTTGTCTTTGGAACTACCTGAACCTGTCGTGTAAAGTTGTAGACTGATCCTACAGAACATTTGTTTTTTGTTACCTCTGAAGGATGCAGTGACTCTTTGATGGACTGTTTGTGAGCTGGTGACTTTTAAGTGTAACCGAGGCAACTTGATGTTGTATCCGCAAGCTGTCCTCAACGTCAGACCGCAGAGCCACAGAGCTTGGTGCTATCCTCAGTGACGTGGTGCTATCACAGTGACTTCAAAACGTCCCCAAATTTTAGCAAAGTGGATAACAAACCATTCACGACGTTGAACTTCACGGATCTGGGTTCCCCATTTGGGGGCCCAAATGAAGACCCTCCCGGCACTCCCACGATGGCGGGTGAGGGGCACATCGGACCTCCAACCCCCCATGAATCCAACACCTCGACGCCGGTGTCCAAAAGTGCTTTCATCGAGTTGCAGCAACATGGATACGGCCCCTTAAGGACATCCTATCAACACCACTTCAATTCTCCGGCGGGAAATGCACATTCGGGCCCCGCGGGGGGTCACGATGGAGGGTTTCCGAGCCCCAGGGGAGCGTTAGGTGCATACCCCTTTCCTACGATGCAGCAACACTCGTACACAGGATATCATCTGGGATCATACGCGTCAAATTGCCCACCCTCGCCTAAAGATGATGGTGAGTACTGGTTTACTATTTGAGCAATTATTTCACAGTTTGCGGTTTAGAATATATTTGGAAGAAGAAACGGTATAGTGGCCAGCAGTTAGGTATATGGGAACGTTAGTTCCCAATCTAGCATAGGTCGCATTTATAGCCTTTATATTGTTCTAAGCTGAAGCCCAAACCAAATGGGAACACCTTAAATGGTGATGCAAAAGTATGATATCAATTTAATGTCTTTATTGTGTTATAAACGACCTTATTGTGTTCCCATAAAATCATCCCTTAAATTACTGATATAATAAACTGCAGTATTTTAGATAGGCTCATGGGAATTGCCAAAATTATACCAACACCAGAGAAGCCCTGAAATTAGTGACTACAATGATATAAGTATTTTACCATTGCTATAAAAACTGATCGAGGTTATATTGGACCAACAAATAAGAGATTATTTACCTTGTTACCAGACCATGAATCAGGATTTGGGAAGGGTTTCAGTTGCGAAACTGGCTATTGGGTAAATATAACTGACGACATGAACAAGAAGTGAATCTATACCCTGTTCATCCACTGTGAGAAATTTAGGGTTAGAATTTGAATCAAACCTCAAATTAATAAATGAATCCAGAAAGCTTATGCCTCCCTGTAAGTTCTATATGTTCATTGATATTTATGTCCTTTCTGTTTAAGTTAAAATTCTTGTGAAGTACCTACTAGTGCTCAGCCATGTTGATTTTTCTAATAGCGTCGATGGGTTTTGGTTCAACAAGTTTGACATGTACAGTATTGAGCGTGTACAGAAGTCCTACCTAAGATTCATTTACGGTCTACATAAGTTTCAAGGAGTTTCGCATAAGTTGATGGGATGCAAACTGTTTGAATATGCGATGTCGCCGAGAGTTGCTTGCATGTCATCTTTTTCACGAACAACCACGATATTTATTCAATACGATAACTTTCCGCATAATTTAAATTTGCGGTTTCGGGAATACATATCACCTCCTCCAAATCAATCCTCTCATTTTTGTAGATGTTGGAAGGATATTTATTTTTGTAAATTTTTCTAAGGTAAATATTTTTTATGAATATGCAGTGCATGTAAAGCTGCAGTACTGAACTTAGGATCATTTTTAAGCGCTTTAAATTCCGCCAATGAGTAATTTTTGGTGGAAGTGTAATACAAGGGCTTTATAATTATCAAATGATTATACCTTGTTATTGGTAAATCTTTGCAAGCCCTCTTTTAGGCTACAAATTAATTGCTACTGACGTTAGAACGCAAACAAACTAAAATTACAAACTTATACAAATATTTGTGAAACTGAATTGAACCAATCATCTACCCATACCAAATGCATTTATTATATGAACATAGTTAAATTATCAGCTACCTATTGTAAACGACGTGACGTTATGCTTAAGAACTTGATACCTATAACATGATATAGAGCACCAAAAATATTTTTTTTGCGTATTAGGTGTACGTAAGACAGATTTATCCGAGGTAGACGCATCATTAATACATTCTAGCAAACCCTCGAATATCTTTTAATAACTAAACATGTATTGTGGGTTTCCAATTTTTACTAAGCGTAAGATAGAAATAGCATAATAAAAAAATCATTTAATTAAATAAAATTATACCTAATGAACGTTTCATGTCAATGCTACCTTCAAAAATATTTCTGCAATGCTGGGATGTGGATACCTACTCTGGAACAAATTGATGGAGAGATCTTAGGTGTTCATGATGTGAAGTATCATCTAAACTCTAAACAATTAATGATAAGGAAGTAACTACATTGGTCGATTATTTCCTCATTAAACCTAAATTCACGCGCACAGGTTATCGAAGATACAGAAGCACAAAACTGATACGTACAAGTAGTTACAGGATCTGGTCAGCTCAAATTTCTGGAAGTGCACATAGTCTTTGTTGTTAGTTATTTAGTATAAGTGTAACTCCTGGTTCGGTCGCACAATGGATTCCCTAGTATTATTAATGTTTGTCGGTTTATTTTACTATAACTTATATCCATAATATTGTTCCTTCAACTAGCTAGTTCGTAGTCATAATTAGGATTGAAATATATAGCAATTCAATGTGTCTAGTCATTCCCTCATACTATTGGTTGTGGCGATTAGCTGCTTGGTTGTGTTCTGAAAATAACTATTGAGTATCTGCGTGTACTAGATATTTTGTACTCATGTCTATTGTGAGGCGTAATGTTCCCCTTTCATATACCTACACTAGTTCCGTCAGAATGAAAGATACGTTCTTCTTACAAGTCATTCAATGGAGCAATATTTCATCATGTAGCTAGAACATTACTTGTAGTTTTTTAGTTGTAGCTATTGCAATATCGTATGTATCTCTTTTTTGATGATAGCTCGTTGAGTGATACTGTGATTGGAAGTATGCTTTCTGCTTATTCCTCAACGAATAAACCCGCCAGATTTTATAACAACTACTAACGCCAGTTATTGTATCAATTAAAAATTATTTTACATATTGTAATTCGCAACCTGAAGGGTAATCAAAATCTGGACAAAAAAAGTTATCAAAGCAAACAAAACTTCATGAAACAATTATTAAAGCTATACCATAGGCATAGACATAATATACTTGGGGCACGCTGGCCGCGCAAAGCTTAATGATAAAAGAACAAGCAATATTAGGATTTTCTGTCTAATGTGACCTTAAGGAACCAATTTCCTAATTGTGCTTCTAGTACTGGTAGTAATCCTTGCGTTGCCAGAGTTTGGGAGATCTAGGCCAAGTGAACACCATGTACTGTTCTGCTATTATTGGAGTCAGGGATGATTATTTATGTATCCGACTTAAAAAAAAAACAATTCTTAATTGCAGCTATCAAGTCCACAAACAAAATAACTAAAAACATGCATTTGCCCTCGACTAAAGTGTATATGTGAGTTTCCCGGACCTTAACTTTATACCAACGTACCACGGACAGAACAATCATCAACGTTCTCAAATTCCGAACATTCTTACCACTTGTCAGACACACTAATACCAATTACTTTTTGAGCGAAACTGCTAATTTCTAGTTGAAGCATTACTTCGTGGTGACGCATGTAGCAATAGCTTGGAGTAATTCGCATCTTTCAAGTTTGGGAATAGGTATACTTAACGGTTATAAAGTATTTTATGGGGCTCCAAAAACACTGTGTAGTTTTTTGTTCTTTTTTCTCAGTTTGTGACGAGATATTATCGAAATGTGACAAATCTTGTATATCATTTTCTTAAACTTGTAGAAGACAGTCTCAAACATTTTAAACGTGTCTTAAAGCCTTAACGAGTCATTTCGCATAGGATAAAATATATGGAAAGAAACGCTACTGTCTCTTAAATTCAGAAATACGAGTATATTTGGTGATTTCCAGAATCATACAAAAATTTACTATTTATTAGTTAAAATACTTAAAACACACGAAAGCGTTTTTCTTCGAAAAAACACACTATGCTGTATTCAAAAAAATCCATAAAATTTTTGTTTTCACTCTACTTTTTTTTAGTGAAATGACATTCCTTTCAATATTTTTTGTGACTCTCTCGAATTCTGGGAAAACTCATGAAAATACGAGTAAAACTAAAATATTCATCCTTCAATACGTCTAATTGAAGAATTTGTTACGCTGTTTTGACAATTTACGATTTGGAAAACATCATAATCGTGAAAGTCGGACGTATCGCCTTCCTCCAAGCCCTATGGGCCCCACCAGAACTCCAGTTCTCTATACATATACGTCAATGTTAACTGCGGCCGCTTTTATCGGTTCGAAATTTTGTAAAAATTAATTGAGGTTACCTACATCTGTCGTTTCCGATCAGGATCCTTGAGATTTGTTTTCATATGCCATATATTATGTGTCGCCAAATATAAATTTTCAACTCAATACAAAATATATGCGCTTTGGAGTTTTATCGCTAAAACCATCGTTTCAATCCTTCCCATCTGTGCTACTAAGAAAGTCCACCAAAAATATAATTAGATACCGTAGAAAGCAACTGATACAGTTAGTAGGTATTCCTGTAAAACTGGGATGATAAACACTGCACCTATCTAGCAGCATCAGTATTAAAAAACAAACGTTTTGTTGTCTGGTAGCCAAATAGACCTACAACCGAATGCCGATTATTGAAGAAAGTTGGACGAATATAAGTACCTAATGTAATGTCTTTATTGCATCATTAACGTTACAAAATAATATTAAAAGTATGATGCAAATAGCAGGGTCTATCCATTGGCCAATCTTCTTAACCAATTTTTTTGAATATAAAATTAAGTGAATATAAAACTATAAATAGTAAAAATGCCAATCACTGTATACGTGATAGAATAAATACAGTATTAAATGCCTCTAAAATTTCAGTGTTACTGTGTGCATAAAATATATTCAACAAAGATCAAGTGCTACCAAAATTTCTCTGTTACCGTGTGTTAAAAATATATTGTTTCAATAGCAACTTAAATTCATAATGATTTGCTTTATTCCTAATGATATATGATGTATTATAATATTTAGTAGCGTTATATGAGTAAGTGCTGAAACTGTCATGCCTATTTTCAGATCCAGACTGGCTTTTAGTTGTCTCCGCTTTTTTTTCTTGCAAATACGTACATTTGATTTTTGACGATTGAGTTCCATGTTATTAATAGCAGAATAGTTAATAATACTTTGGAGATCAATATTAATTTTAGCCTCAGCTATTTTAAAATCATCAGGGGGAAAGCAATAATTGTGTATCATCGGCCTAACAAGTTACACTCGAGTTTTTGGTTTTGACTACTAAAGAACAAGAGGGCCCTAGAAGTGAACCTTGTGCTACCTCTCAAGGAACACTCTTTAAATTTGAAATACTTGAGTTCAGAACCACCGGTTGCTGCCTATGTTTATATGTATCTATATAGATATACTTTTCCTTGACGGTCGACTCATCTTTTCTCTATGTATCTACATGCTTCCATCTAATAAGTAAAAAAAAACTT